GGCATGCGCAACAGTGTCTTTTTTCTTTTTTTTTTTAATGCCAAAAAGTGGTGGTCCGGGATCCCGGACAACCCACCTACGGGACGGTTGGGATAATTTGCATACCCCCATAAGTTGAGATATATGTCAAACTGCCCCTAGAAGATGTGGGTAGTGCAGAATGCCCCACTGACAATAAAAATATTTTGTGAAACACCCCTGGCGTCGGTTGGAACCCCATCTTTGCAATATACCCCTACCAGGCACCGTCCAACTTTGCAATATGCCCCCAGTACTTGCCAATTTCTCCTAGGCGCTATTGCCAAAGGCCAAGGGCCAAACGGGGAGGTCCAGATTGCAAAGTTGCACACCCGCCTGACAGGGGCACAACACAAAGATTTCGGCCCAAAAGGTCATTCCGCTGTACCCACACCTCTCTCGGGCTCTCTCTCGCTCGCGCGCGCGCACGCACTTAGGCCTATTGCTTTCACTCATCGGGCCAGGCTCACAATTCGCAAACCTAAGGCTGCGGTATGGTGGGTTCGAGCATCTGTGTTTGCAGCACAAAGGCTGCACCGAAAGGCAACACGTCAGCACCCCCCCGCCCCCGCCTTTGAAAGACAACACATCAAGCAAGGTACGCCTATTAACATGCCGGCCTGTCGTGAATGTACAACTCTCTGTCTGCGACCAGTCAAATTCATTTATGATCAAACGCATTCGCAATTTCAGAGGCCTGAAGAGTACCAGAGAAGTGCTCGTAGTTATTAAGCCACCAGTACATCTGGAGAATTTGAGTGAACCTCTCTGAAAACTTGGGGGACTCGGGACAAGGCCCGCGTGGGGGTCGGGGGAGGGCCGGGTCTAGTGCCACCCCATGGCATGGGACACGTTTTTTTCTTTCTACTGGCCCTTCGTACACCCTGTCCCAAGCTTTCCCAACTTTAGGAGAGGCTCGATCTGATTTTCAACTTGGCTGGATCCATGCCCTGGTGGTTTAAGGCCAATCCGAGGAGTGTACCAAGGCGCTGCACCTAGGTAATGTGGTGGACGGAGACAGCTGTGATTAAGACCTGGCCCAAAACCAAGGCCCTCCTCACAGAGTTTCGATCCTCTGTTTTTTTTTCGTTTTTTTTTTTCTCGGAGGTCATAGGACCCACCCCCGACCTTACATCATCTCATCGTTCGGCTTCCATAGCATAACCCCTGCTTCCTCCCCATCCACGGGGGCAATTGTTGGCCCTACCTGAGATGTACCGGACAGCAGTTGCAGCCACCAGCACTACGCCAGGACCACCTCTCCCATCCCTAGTTGAAGCACTATCAACCAAGTTGAAGCACAACTCATAAACAAACAGTTGGGAGTGGGGGGCCAAAGTACCCGTGGGCTTTGGCCCGATTTCCATCGTGCAGGAGGGAGGGACGATGGAAATCGGACCGAAGCACGGTACTTTGGTCACCAAACATGATACTCTTAGTGTACACTCCTATTTTTTCCTATCAGCACCAGCCCAGTTTGGTTAGACAGCCCCTGACCCCACCCAGGCGACATGTTCCTAGCGTAGCCTAACATTGAGGGGCCAAGTTTATCTATCCCATAACCCACACCGCTTACTTTGGGTTCTCGTGCTATTGTAGTTGTCTGGTTCACATCACATTGAGGTGCCAAGGTTATCTATCCCATAACCAACACCGGTTCTCCGCAGGGCCGCTTCCTGCCACGGAAAACCTCCGGCCCAACCCCCCTTGCTCCCTCACTGATGTCATATATTTCTCGCTCCAGGCTTACTCCAGAACCGAATGTTTCCATGGAGCCACCCTGGGCAGTGTCATTACCTAAGCCAACTCTAGACCACCCTGAGTGGCACTCCAGGGTACTCTGAAACCGAACGTCTCCACGGAGGCACCCCAGGCAGCGTCTTACCTATAAGCCAACTCTAGATCTAGATCAGTCTGGATGCCTATTGTTTTTTTTTTTTTTTTGGTTATGGGTTGTGTTATAGTTGGTATGGATACCATTCCAGGCAAGTCGTGAACCGAATGTTGGTCTTTCTCAGGACCTGCTAACTACTATAGAAAAGACTGCCAGGGGCTTCTCCATAGAGTACTGTGGAAGCCACTACCGTCTTCACTCGAATAAGATGCTGCCAAGGTGTTATATCTCTTATTTGGGCCAACTTTACAGTCTGGATAGACAAGTAATGAGCCGGCCGCCGATTTGTTCAGGGGAAGAGGACAAGGAGGCCATCTTCAAACAGGAAAGCGACAGCAATATCTCTGTAGTAGCAGCTACTACCATCTTTCCCCGAATACAGCACCTAGACTCTATGACATAATAGCTGTGTACCTGAGCCAACGTTCAGTCTATAATACAACCATAACGACTCTGTGCACATTCTACTCAGCTGAAGATGAAGAAGACAACAGCAAGGAGGTAATCTGGAAATGCAATAGAGACTGTAATCCAGCCTTCGAAGGCACTAACGGAGTATATCCTCTGAGAGAGGCCTGAGGGTCGAAGAAGTGTTATGAAAGAGTTCATCCTTTTGTTATTGATGCTGGTGGCCATGGCCGCCCAGCCGATCATACACAAAAAACCCGCTTGTAGTCTCATACCAATTTCTCGAAGTGTCTGTCGTCTTTTGTGTGGCGCATCCTTGAATCTTTTTTTTTTTTTTTTTTCCGTGTGAAGTGTGAGAATCTGTGAACGTGCGGTCTTGTCTTTTGATGCTCGATGCTTGGTCAGCGAATCAAACGCCTGATGCTCGATGCTTGGTCAGCGAATCAAACGCCAAGCAGAATGGAGAAGAGCTCCGTCAAACAAGCGTATATGAGCTGAAATCAGCACAATAGGCTAAATACCCGTTCTAGACATCAAAAGCCATTCAGGCAGGTGGTTCAGAGACACAGAACCGGTACTTCGCACTCAAATTCGATCGGGACGAACATTGTACGAGTTCTGTTCAAACGTCAATCATCGAATTTGGATCGATTACCACTGTGAAGCCGATCGAGGGAGAAGGCTCTCCGCCCGTACACAGGAAAAAGGCACAATGCGGAAGATGTACTGTTCTCGTCGATGAGATGGCAAACAAGTGATATAAAGGGACATGGGTGAGAGATCTGAACTGGGCGAGATGACGATGGGCACCCTACGACTCCACTGTCCCAACCCCCTGCGAAGATCCTTGTCTCATTCAGATCGGAATTGCGCAGGTTGACCTTCTCTTCTCTCTGCAGCAGTCCGCTTCTGAGTCCTGCACTTCGATCTTTTTTTTTTTTTTTTTTTTTTTTGCAAGGGTTACGGTCTTGAGATATCATCATTGAGCTGACCGGCACCAGTCAATTCAGAAATAACTGGTTGTACTCGATCAAATTCCATCATCTGGGTTCGAACACGGGTCTGTAATTTGACAGTTCAATGGTGTACACACTGGGCTCGGCTCTTGGGTCTTCAATCGTATTCGGTTCATCTATATCCACAGAAACGGACCTCACAGCTGATTGTTTTTATTTTCCAAAGGAGAAACTGGCTGGTACGATCAAGCCCCAAAAAAAAACAAAAAACGACGTGCATGCATAATACACAAGCGATCTGCGATGCTTGCCACGTGGCGTTCAGTACGGATTTGATTAATCTGCACATTCTCGTCTTCACAAGGTTGAGCGGAGAGGAACGTGATGAGCCCGAAAGGTCATCCCCTGACCTAAAATGATCAGGGCACGTATAACTGGTAAAGCTTCTTATCGATAAAGGGGAGAGAGAAAGAGAGAGAGAGAGAGAGAGAGAGCGACCATTCGTTCAAGAGGGAATCTTCAAGTGTACTCCCGAGTAGAAATTGAAATCGAAGTTCGTCATACATCCCCCCCCAAAACTTTGCCAGCTTGCATCCCCCGAGAAACTTTTCCAGCTTACATTCCCCCCACAGAACTTTGCCCGCTCCTGTTGACAAGTTGAGCTTCTGGAATCCAAAGATTCGGTGCTTCGTCGACTGTCCAAGATCCCGTTCCGAGAAGGGTAGACAGACAGCATGCCTGCTCAAGCAAATCGCCAAGTGGCTTTGTTAAGCACCACAACTCCTTGCTCTTACTTGCCCTCTGCGCACCACTACTCAACCCACAACTCTTCGGCCTCGTGAGGGATTTTTCACATCCATCCTCCTTCAATATTATTTTATTTTTTCATTAAATACGGCCAGGGCGGGCCCACTGGGGACCACATCCATCCTTCCATGCCCTAATATGCCCTTACCAGCCCCCACACCAACACAAAGGGCCAGATCCTACTAGACCCTACTGTTCATTTCTGACCGTTGATCTTCGTAATCGAAGGTGAAAAATGAATAATCCAGGGTAGTGGGATCTGACCCTAAGTGTGCATACACACATAGGGAGTTTTTCCCACACGGAGTTTTTCCCACGAAGCTCTCTCTGGACGTGACTACAGTCATACTCATCCTGCACTTGCCATAATTGCAGTCAGATGCATTCCGAGAAGTGCACGTGCGAGTATGCCCTTATTATCGTTCATGATAGCGTTTTGGGGTTTTTTGGAACACGTTCCATTTCATTTAAAAAAAAAAAAAAAAAAAAAAAAAAAAAAAAAAAAAAAAAAGGAAATAAAGTCCAGGGACCTCACAGCTCAGCCCGTCTCTATGACAGCGTTGAACAGTACACGAGATCTGATTTGACGCGCGTTTGCGACAGTTTGACACCATCCGTGATCAGATACGCTCAGGCGAGAGACCACATATGAGAGTATGCACGTAGTTTTTCGCTTTTTTTCGCTCCCAGATAATTTGCGTTTTTTTTGGGTCCCAAGAATTTTGCATTTCTCCTGGCCACAATTTTTTCTTTTGTTTTGCCCCACGTTTTTTTGAAGCCGATTGAGAAACGACGGGACGCCTTTCGAGGGAAGTCCGCGCTACGTTGCAAGCAAACTGATATGTTGTGCTCAACAACAATGGGGAAAGCACACCCTCATCCGAGTGGGAAACAATCTTCACGATCTTAACACAAAACGAAGTGTATTTACCCGAATACAACGCCCAGTCATCCTAAAAAGCTGTATATGGAGCACTTTTCCGTCCAGATATGGCGACAATTACCGGGCGTTCTATTCGGGTGAAGACGCTGGTCACCTGTTACGAGATTCAAAGAGTTATGGATTGGGAAGAACACAATGAGTATTGTCGTATTTGACAAATTCCACGCTAACCACCCCCCCCCCCTCCMCCCCCCCTCTTCTTCCCCACCCATCAAGGAAACCCCATAGTCCCTGTTCAACCTTAATGACCCAATACAGACCCCCCGATTTCAAGATACTCCAGAGGAACCCCCCCGCAGTCCCTGTACATCGGGACTACCAATGCTTATAGCAATTTCCGATGACGGCTTTCATCGTTGTGCTCTTTTCGATTCGAGCGGAGAGAGAAAGGAGGTGGTTATTTCAATTGCCACGACAGAAAGAAGTTGAGGAGAGCGAAAAGGGGTCACACACACACGTCACAGACGCAGAGATCTCTCCGATTGCCCAAAAGGAAGGGAAGGGACATCTGTATAAAAGAGGACAAAAGACGTTCCAAAAAGTGACACAACGAATGCCATCAACTCAGCACATCAGGACAGAAGAACTCGCCCTTCAAAACAAAATACCACCGTCTGTTCTCGGTGCTCCGACCGTTCCATTACCCGTCCGCCCATGTGAAGACCCCGTGAACCGCAGACCTTCCCCCGACGACAAGAAAAGATGAAGAGTGGACGGAGGGGTCTCGTCGCCGCCAGGACAGCACGAAAGATCGGGGGAAGAGAAGGGATCTGATTACGTTTAACTGACAAAAACATTGTCAGCAAATCACTAATCTACCCGCAAATCCTGGTCTCTCTCTCGGCGTTAAAGCCTCCACAGGTAACACGTAAGAAAAGCGGCGGTCATCCCACTCTGCCGCGCTGCCTCTGACGACACCTGATGATGGCATCAAACCACTCATCTGCGGGGGGATTAGAGCATAGTACTTAGTCAAATTACTCAATCTACTCGATCTCCTTCCCGATGTACGGCTTGCCGAAATGCTCATCCTCCTTCGGCGGGTGGACGGTCACCACATCAGGAAGAGGATTCGATGGTCCCTGCTTGCCCTTAGGATCCCACTCAAGCATGATTTTGACCTTGATTCCCAACACTCCCTGCCTAAGCATGACGTGGCGGACGGCAGCGTCGATGTAATCGTTGACAGGGCTACCAGAGGAGATCATATAGCCATCCTTGAACTTCATGCTCTTGGCACGCTGAGCCCTCAGCTTGCCGCTGACGATGACCTCGCAACCCTTCGCTCCACTCTCCATGATGAACCGCAGGACACCATAACATGCCCGTCTCACAGCCAGCCCGCCGAGCAGCTTGTACCTCAACGACTCCGCCTGCGCAATGGCGCACAGACCTCTGTTCGTCACCCTCTCCGCGTAAAGCTCGACGGTGTTCTCAGGGAAATTGAACCTCTTTTGCACAACCGATGTCAGCTCCCTGATACGTCGGCCCTTCTCTCCCAAAACCATCTGCGTGCGCGTCGCACGGATGATGATCTCCGTTCTCATGGGCGTCACACGTACCTCCACGCCGGAGTATCCATCTTCTGCCAATTCCCGAGTCAGAAACTCGTTCAGCTCCGCAAAAAACACTCCATCTGCGACGAACTTCCTCTTCTTGCTCACCTGATTGGACGCCATTTCTGCTGTTCACCGGCCGGTCCTCTTCCACGCAATTGAGCGGAAAAGTCAGCCTGCAGTCACGACACCACACAATACACACACACACAAACGAGCACGTAGCGGCAGACATTTTCATCATTAAGAGCGCAATCGGAAAGATGTACACCATCATTTTACAAACGCGAAAAAACACCAACGAGTTAATTAACGACTTCTCATCGTCCACCAACCAAAAACATCTTCAGAAACAAAAAATATATAGCCAAACAGCACACGAAAGCCGCGAAAGATAGTACTTCATTTCGTATCTTTCGATTCACGTCTTTTGTCCTGAACAGTATATCAGCATGCTGGTTAAACAGCGCCGACTCTTATACTGTTCCACATTTCCCTAATCTGTACCGCAAGCAACCCGACCTTGAATTGTTACATATTTCCCTCGCCTGCGGCCACACCCTCACCATACAATCGATCAACGTCCAACAAATACGATACACGACTGTCTGGGCACTGCTGATGATCATTTCACTCCACCACCGCCGGCACCATAACCTTACCCTCGACTGATCGCGGACAAGCTCAACTCGTCGGTGTTGCACTTCTCGCTCAGATACCATCCAAGCAGCCAGCTCTCTACCATCGTCGAAGATCGGTTGTAGATTTTGGACGCTCGGTAGTCTTAACTAGAACATCTTCTCACCCCAACTCCTCTTTGAACGACAAAAACATTCATCACGGTCCAACCAATCGGGGTAGCCAACGCGTGCGGTTGTGAAATAGCACCTACTGCTTGCCGACCGCGAGAGCTCGATCGTTAGACGGCCACCGAGGACTGCGACACCGACAAGAGCACGGCGCACACAAAGCAATCGGCGCGACACACAGAACAAGCAGCGTCCAAGTTGTACTACTTACTACGCCCACCGATAAAAATTAGACAGACAGGACAGTGAGGGAAGAAGACCGACTACCTGCCATTGAGTGCGTCCTTGCGCTACCGATAAAAATTAGACAGGACAGCGGGGAAAGAAGACCGGCTATCTGCCAACGAGTGCGTCATCTCACCGTCCTTTCCCCACTAATAAGCGGGAATACCTAAATAACGTTACGATAAGGAACCCCCGCCGACTCCTTGGATATTGCGACACATGTGAAAGCGAATTCAACAGAAAGCCGCCCTCGACGGTCACGTAAGCGAGGACCCTTCTGTCTGTCTGTTCTCCTGATCTGGATCGCTGATGGCTCGGCAACCAATCAATCGCTCGGCGCGCAGTTCCCCGCCAGAAGTCCATACCTAAATCGGCAAGTTAGGAAGGAGGGTGAGGAGGAGAAGTGCCACATCCAAGTCCCGTCAAAGAAACAACCTAATGTTTTCATCACCGCGTCATTACTACCCTTCTTCAGTTAAAACCCTAAAATCACTACACACCGTCAACCCCTTCACCATCCCAAGAAAGTGGTATATAGAATCACCATTTCATTTCCGCACTCTCGTGTTAGCTCCCTTCCGCCATCTCCTTTTCAGGTTACTATCGAACGCCTACCTCCGTTCCTCAGGCTTTCGCGACAATACCATTCCTCCACCCTTCGGGACCACCATTACTCCATCCCTTCGGGACCACCATTCCTCCACCCCTTCGGGACCACCATTCCTCCATCCCTCGGGACCACCAATCCTCCATCCCTCGGGACCACCAATCCTCCACCTCTCGGGGCCACCATTCCTTCCCTCGGGACCACCATTCCTCCACCCCTCGGGACCACCAATCCTCCACCCCTCGGGACCACCATTGCTCCACCCCTCGGGACCACCATTCCTCCACCCCTCGGGACCACCATTCCTCCACCCCTCGGGACCACCATTCCTCCACCCCTCGGGACCACCATT